TGGTAAAGTGCACGTGCAATCTGTATTCTTTGTTTTTGTCCACCACTCAAATTTATTCCACGCTCTCCTATAATTGTCTGATCACCAAATGGCAAAATCTCCATATCCTTCTTCAAGGAACAGGCCTCAAGAACCTTCTTATACTTTTCCCCATCCATTTGTTTTCCAAACAATATATTATCTTCTATCTTTCCACTTTGTATCCATGGAGATTGAGTGACATAGGCCTTTGTTCCACAAACCTTAAGGATGCCTGATATCTTTGGTACTTCTCCTAACACACAAGAAAGTAAAGTAGATTTGCCTGATCCAACAGTACCACAACCTGCAACCCTCATCCCATGAAAAACTTTAAGATTTATGTTTTGCAATGTTGGGTTAGGGGAAGACTGATAGGTGTTGTAATTTTGTTCCAAACCCATGACAGTGACACCACGACGAGCAACAAAAGGTAGAGGAAGCCGGATAAGCCATGAAGGAAAACGGGTTGGAGGAAGACATCGTTGGAAAGGTGTACGTGAGAAAGGGGTGATAAAAGAGAGTACATGTAGTTAAAATGAAGATGAAAAACAAAATTTGCTGAACTTGAAAATGGGTTGTGTTTAGAAGAAATGGGACAGTATAAGGTGGTGCGGAAGATGAACTTTTTCAAGTTATGAAGACTGAAAACTATGTGCTGAATTGAAGTAAAAAAAGGGAAAAGAGAACTGACTGAGTAAAAAGAAAAGGACCGGGTTAGTTGGGAAAAGGTTACTTGGTGAGGATGCGTGGAGTGTAGTTGAATTGAAGGAATAAAATAGCGACAGAAGGGTGGGAATTTTGAGGAAAAAGGAATGAACTTGGAAAATTTTGACCATTAAGAAAATGAAAAAAATCACTCATTGTTTTTTTATTTATTGTGGTTGACCTAGTATAAGGCACGCTAGGAGAAATTAAGTGCAGAGAATTGAAGTAAATTAGGAGAAGAGAATGAGTTAAAGTAAAAATGGATGGCGGCGTTCTTCTGGCCAAGACAAAATAGTAGAAGAGGCAAAAGGGTGGCGTTCTTCTGGAAGAACGGCATATGATTTTTAATATATAGATGATATTTTAGATTTATGATAAATTATTTATATTATAATATATTATTTAAATTTAAATTAATAATTATAGAATTATATATATATATATATATATATATATATATATATATATATATATATTCATAACTTGGCCCTGTTCATCTGACAGTAAGATAAAGCTTTATCATAAATTAAATTTATGAATAGAGGCAAAGTAGCGTACAATTTATTTTATTAGGAGGTGACGGGATAATGTGATAGAATATTAATTTTTCAACTTTATAATAAACCTCTTCTTTTCGGTAGTTGCAACTACCTGTAAAAAATATCATATTAAAATACATTTATATTTAAGAAAAACACAAAATCTATGTAATCCCCCAGATTTTTGTATGCTTCAATTAAAATCAGTGATCATCAGATTTCTAAAAGCTGGAGTTGGACCTCCTTGTATACTCAGTAACAAGTTCAGCAAATGATGATGACTTATTCTCTAGCAACTTTGTTGGGGTGTCGTACTCTTCAACAAGTCCTGCAACAATGTCAGGCAAAATCAGAAAATTAAATATCGATGTTCTATGAAGAAGGAAAGCCTTTCCAAACCTTGACTAAGAAGAAGAACCATATCACTGTCAAGCACAGAAGTTATTCGGTGTGCAATGGTAATAATTGTGGAGAGAGAGAAATGTTGCTTAAGAGTTTGCTGAATCAAATTATCCGTAGCTGTATCCACTGATGCAGTGGCTTCATCAAGAACCACAACCTTGCTTTTCTTAAGCAACACCCTGCCAAGGCAGACCAACTGTCTCTGACCCATACTCCAATTCTCACCATTCTCACTAACTACAACATCAACTTCAACATTAGCAATGAGTTCAATTAGATTTACTATACATTTATATGTCAATGAGGTTCGAAGACAAACCTTTGCAGTCAAGCTTTCCTTCTTTCTTTCTAACTTCGTCTCCAAGTTGACACTTATCCAAGGCCTATTTAAAAGAATGTTAACGAGTGAGCGCAATAATATTTGTCAAGAAAGATTAAAAGTCTATTATTTTGGACAAAATTTAGTGTCTGCACATTAAACAAACCCACCTCCCAAATTTGTTCATCAGAGTGTTCTTCCAGGGGATCCAGATTATCTCTCACTGTCCCTTCAAACATTGTTGGATCCTGAGGAATAATGCTCAGTCTTGACCTCAAATCATGAAGTCCAATTAAAGAGATGTTGATGTTGTCAATCATAACTTTCCCGACAGCAGGCTCAACAATTCGAAAAAGTGTTTGTATGAGAGTGGATTTACCACTTCCTGTCCTCCCAACAATGCTAGTTTTCAGTCCTCCGCTAAATTTGCATGTAGGACCACGCAACACGACTGGAAGATGTGGAGCATAACGAACCTTCAGAATGGGAAACATATCATTATGAACATAGCACAAAACAACTTGTATAATTGTTTTATGTTGGCGTGATTTTTTTGTTTTAGAAGCTAACTTCTAACCATTTAGGAAAAGATAACTATGGCATGAATATCATAAATTAAACGACCTCAGAATAAAATAAATTATAAGTACAAAACGGAGAATGTAATAGCTTGAAGTACCTGCAAATCTTGTATATCAACCTCGCCATTAGAGGGCCAAGAAGAATCTGGCTGGTTTTCATCTATAACAAGGGGAGGCTCACTAGGAATACTAGTATACTGAAGTATTCTTTCTACTGATATAATTTTGTTCTCCATTTTGCAGAGATTCCATATCATCCAAGCTTGTATCGTGTTCAAATTTAGCCCATATGTAACCGCCAAGCCAGCAAGGCCTTCAAAATCACAAAATTTATAAAAATGGAAAATAATTATGTTCAATTCCACATTACGTCGGCTGACTAAATTTTGATTTGTAACAGATACCAGATTGGAATAACACACCTGGATCTATGAATCCCGGTGGAATAGATATCAAGAATAATAATAAAAAGGCAAATATGATAGAAGACAACATATCTAAGCGGAAGCACAACCATTCCATGGCAGCAGCAACGTTGAACTTTGGCCGTGAATACCCATCAGTCAGTTTCATATTTGTTTCCTGAAATCTTGATTGCTGTTCAAAGCTTCTAATGGTTGAAGCTCCCGAAATTGTTTCAGAAAAGTGTTGAATGATTGGGGCTTTGCAGATACCAACTAAACGTGATAGTTCTCGAGCTGATGGAATATAATATTGCTGCAGAAAATTACAAGTTTGTCGGATCTTAGCAATCATCACAACATATTGTATAATGAAGTCAATTTTGTAAAATATATTTGGTACATAATCTGTGCAGGTAAAGCCATTCCCAGTCAAGGATGGAAGTAATGCAAGAAATATGTCACCTAATTATGAAAGTCTACGTTACAAGGTCAAATTAATACCTGATAGCAAATGCTGACTGTGATCACAGGTATAAAGACAACGAAAATTTGCCATGCAGCCTGAGACATCACTGCAATAATTCCCAGAAGTTGGATCATAATGAAGGCAGATGATGCAATTTGATAAGGAATGTTTGTATCCAGTGCACTTTGATCCGTTGAAACCTTGACGAGAACAAAAATAAGGTAAGCATACAGTATTATACAATCTATAGTTGTTGAAAACAAATAACAAAAAAGGGTAATATTAATCTTAAGGAAGAATGCTATTAAGACACATAAATTTAAAATTCAGAAGGACAAATACGGAAAGAATGAGGTATAAATACTCTGTTAAGAATTTGCCCGCTTGGAGTGGAATCGAAAAAAGCCATTGGAGCACGAAAAATGCAATAGTGCATTTTATTGAAGAGTATAGTAGCTGTTTTATAACCAGTTGTGACAAGAAGCATTTCTCTGGCAAGGATGCATAAAGAACTTCCAATGGCCAAACTAACATAGACTACAATAAGAGTTGTTCCATCAACAGGTGCTTCCACATCAGTTGAGATAGGAGTCGCCCAAGCCATCCAGTAATTACTTCCGATTTGAAGAGCTTGAAAAAGAATCTGAGCCAACAATATGAATGGTACAAGAGCTCCTCCATATGCTGCTGTGATACATTTCTGTTAGAATTTAATTCCAGCTTTAGGTTTAACTGTCAGATTTTAGTTTGTAACCAACTATTAATGGTGTATTCTCCTATATAAGAGTACCCTTAACTCAGAAATTATATACAACGATACTTTTCAGTTTATCACATATATACACAAATTAAACACATTATCCTGCATATTATTGTGTGTGTCTATACACGTGTGAAGTATATAGAGAGAAGGAAGTGAGAGGAGGAGCTTATCTGGTGAAACTGGTGGACGGTGGAACCCTAGAGTGAGCTGGAGTTTTCGTGGTCACTGTGTTCTTTCAAGAACTTTCTCCCTCTTTCTCGTGTTGTTTTTGGTGCGTGTGCGAAGACGTGGGTATTATTACCCTTTAGCAGAAGTGAGAAGTGGGCCTGAGTATTGGGCCAGTTTGAACAATTTCCAATACACTGAAAACCCAACTTTACCTTTCTCCCTTTCTTCTTCCTGAACAAGTTGGCCTTTAGGTTCACTTTTGTTGTCTGTTATACCATTTTGTTCATCTTTGCTTGCCTCCTCTTCTTTAAAACCTTGCGTGCTAGAGACATTTGCATCTTCTTCCAAGGTGCTTATTTCATTAGATAATGCTGCTCCATCTAATGAATCTAGTGTAGACAAAGCTTTTTTGTGTGCACCAACAAGTTCCACAAAATCAGCTCCACTGTTAAGTAGATCAGAATAATTTCCACATTGAGTAATTTTCCCATCTTTCATAACCTAAGAACAAGAATAACATGACGGATTAAAAAAAATCTATTTGTACACTAATAACAGTTAAATTAAGAGAATTACTCACCAATATAAGATCAGCAGCAGGTAAGAACTCTACTTGATGAGTGACATAAACTACTGTCTTTGTACTTAAAAGGCCCAACAAGCATTCCTACCATAAACAAAATAGCAAGGTTTACTTACACAATGCAAGAGTCGTGAAGTTGGAAAAACAAAATTTCAGAATTGTTAAATAAATTATTTTTGTATTCTGCAGTGCGCATATAATTATAGTAGATCAGATTATATTGCACATATTGAATGAAACCAAGTTACCTTGAAGAGGTGAGAGCCTGTGTGAGCATCCACAGCACTAAAGGGATCATCAAATAGCATATTGGTAGAGCGCACGTGCAATCTGTATTCTTTGTTTTTGTCCACCACTCAAATTTATTCCACGCTCTCCTACAATTGTCTGATCACCAAATGACAAAATCTCCAGATCCTTATTCAGGGAACACGCTTGAAGTACCTTCTCATACTTTTCCCTATCCATTTGTTTCCCAAACAATATATTATCCTCTATCTTACCACTTTGTATCCATGGAGATTGAGTGACATAGGCCTTTGTTCCACAAACCCTAACGATACCCGATATCTTTGGTACTTCTCCCAAGAAACAAGAAAGTAAAGTAGACTTGCCCGATCCAACAGTACCACAAACAGCAACCCTCATCCCTGTAAAAACTTTAAGATTTATATTTTTCAATGTTGGGTTAGGGGAAGATAATTCCCAAGAAAAGTTTCCATCAACTACTTCAATTGTTGTATCAGAACTACCCCGGGGAAGCTTCTCTACAGCATCAGCGGGTAACTCATCCAGACGAAGGAATGATGCAATCCTATCAAGAGACACTTTAGTTCGTGCTATCGTCGAAATTGTACCCGGAAGGCTATAAATGGGCTCTTGAAGAATCCCGAATGTTGCGAGTGCAGACAAGATCTTCCCCGATTCAAGGGGGACCCCTATAAGCATACAAGTACCAAAGGTAACCACGGCAACAAATGTGGGGGCACCCCGAAATAGAAACGTTGTCATGGATGAAGTATAAGCACATTTTTTTAACCAACCTTGCTCAGTTTTCCTGAGCTCAGTTATTTTTGATAAAAACTTCATTTCCTATCCTTGTAGTTTTAAAATCTTCATATTCCTTAAAATCTCGGATGTGGCTTTCATTCTTTTATCTTTCGACACCATCAACTTCTTTTGAAACTTCTGTTGCAATGATCCCAAGGGAACATTTGTCATCATAACAACAATAGTTGCAACAAAAGCAGCAATTGAAGCCAGCCCAAGGTTTTTGTACAAAATCAATAATGCCAATGTAGCTTGCAAAGCCACCATCCACAAATCATGTATATGCCAACTAAAGACACCCACTCTTTCTGCATCAACAGCCATGAAATTGACTATTTCTCCAGAAGTGTGGCCCTGCTTTGACTGACAAGAAAGAGTCAGAGCCTTGCTATAAATCATAGTGACAAGCAGTGCTCGAATTCCAAGTCCAACTTGCTGCAACCTAAAGCACCGATGCAATTGAGACAGACACTCTACCATCTTTGCACAGAAAAACGCTGAAATCAAAACAAAGCCCTGGTTTTCATAAAGTCGTTGTCCATGAAGGTACTGAACAAAATCATCAAGAAGAAAAGGACCAACATAAGAAGCCAAAGTGTATAACAACGCAAGAAAAGCTGTGAAAAGAATCTCCTTCCATGCTGACACTACTAACGACTTCACCAACTTTAGTGTGGTGACATTTTTAATTGCCCCACAATCAGTCTCAAGTTTATCTCTGAACCCAGGAAAAGTTTCAAGTACACTGTCTCTGCTGCCTAGTCGAGGAACATCCTCCAGGTCCAAGGTCTTCTTATTGCCAACAGCTATAAGAGGACCCACCCAAGAGAAGGAAAGATGGCTCAAAATGCCAGCATATGAGAAAGGGGTAACAGTATCCCCACCCTTGGTCTCTTTTGACTCCAAGGCATCATCAATCTTTGTCTCACTATCCAAAAGAGGTTCCTGAGTGCTGTTATTTTCTTTTTCTCGCACGGGACCTTTGTTTTTCACAAAATACCCCACGTAACAGAATAACAAACCAAAACAAGTGGAAACCACATCAGAAACCAAGTACTGAGTTGGCAAAGCAACGCCTCTCTCTGATACAATAATGTCCACCACGAAGCAATAACAAGAAACAAGGAGTTAGAAGATGCACCAAGCTTTGAAGAGGAATGAGAACCTTTTTTCGCCAGAACTGAAGAATTCCTTTTGCAAGCAAACACAAACAACGCCCCATGCAACTGTTTTTAGCGCCAAATCCATAAGGGTCACGAGCTTTTCTTCTGACCAGCCACTAGAGTACCAACAAGAGTAATTGAACAAACAGAGGAGAAAACTGAAAGCAGAAACACCCAGAGAACAAAATACGGTCGTTTTGAAGAGGGAGTTGTCGTGTTTCTCCTCAGACTCAACCCTGACACGCATTCTGAATTTGATCCTAACCCATGACAGTGAAACCGTGATGAGCAGCAAAAGGTGGAGGAAGCCGGATAAACCATGAAGGAAAACGGGTTGGAGGAGAACATCGTAGGAAAAGTGTATGTGGGAAAGGGGTGAGAAAAGAGACAGCATGGCAGTCGAAATGAAAATGAAAAACAAAAATTTGCTGTATTAGCTGAAATTGAAAATGGGTTGTGTGCATGGAAGAAGTGGGATGGTATGAGACAGTGTGGAAGATGAAGTACTTGAGGTTATAAAAGTGGTAACTTGGTGGGCAAGACTCGAGTTTAGTTGAAGTAAGAAAATAGTACAAGAGACAAAAGGATGAAATTTTTCATGAAAAAGGAACGAGCTTGGAAAAAATTGACGATTAAAAAAAGAAACACAATCACTCATTCTTTTTTTATTTTATCCTTGTCGGCCTAGTAGAAGGTGACCTGAAATTGCGATGGAATACTATAAAAACTTTCTAATAAAACCACTTCGTCTAGATTACATATTGTTTAATTACAGAATGCTCAATTAGTAAGATAACTTAGATATAGAGTTTAAGACCTTATTCATTTAGCAAAACATTTTAAGGTCAACGAGTAATGGGAGGTCTTACAGTCATGTCAAGGTCTTCATTCTTCATGTTGTTGGGAGGCTTCCAATAAAAATGGTGAAGCAATTGCTCAATGTTGTGTATGGCAATGACCCTGCTCTTAGATGGTATCATATCCATTGATTTGGCACATCTCTCTAACAGCAGATGATGTTTCACCACCGCCGACGAACATGTCCTGCAATGGATTAATGTTGTTTATCCAAGTGATGTGTATTTACATTTTCTTGCATTCAAGGCCAAAAATAATCTTAGTAGTTGGAATTCAAAAACAATGATTATAATCCCTGTTTTGTTTTATTATTAGTAAATTTTGTCTCCCTTTATCAAACTTGCAGCACAAGTAAGAAAAGAAATTCTGAAATTATAAAAATACAAACTCGGAAATCAGTCAATGGGCATTCCATTTCGTTTGCAGGTTGAAACTTGAGAAGAAGATCAGCAAGAGAAAAAGCTTCTATCAGCTTCAATTGTTCCTCAATCTCTGATATGTTGGTATCTACGTTGTAAGAAACCATTTTAGACGATGGAAGGTATGCATGTGTTCCTCAATCTCTTTGGTCATTTCTGGCGAAGTGTGACTATGATATATGGACCGATTTCGACAGATGACGAGAATATGTTAAATTTCATAAACAAAAAATGATATGGATTAAGAAATAAAACATAAAAACATTTTAAAATATTATTGCTGTATTTATTTTATTGTAAATTTTAATAGGTTTAAGTAATATCATAGATCATTAACTAACTATTAACACTTTTAAATCTTGTGAGCTCTATTTGGTTGAAAAGAAAGGAGACATGGAAGGATTCAATTATAATGAAGAAAAATATATATTTTTTTATTAATCTTTTTATTGATTAAGAGAAAATGAGGGAGAAATTTTAACTAAGATAAGAAAAAAATAACTTCCTTTAGGTTCGTAAGGAGAAATAAAACAGATATTATGTTAGTTATTTTTTTCATTTTTAATATTTTCTTATCAGTTTTAGTAAAATTGCTCATAATTCTATTTATTTGTATTATTAATTATTTGGCATTTTATAAATTGTTGTCTTTCGTCTATAAATAATCAAGAAAATAAGAATTAATGGCATCTTCGAATCTTCAAAGATAAGTAAAAATAAAAAATCTGTAAAAATTTCAAATAAAAATAAGTGAAGGCAATATTTTTTATATAAATATTATTGAATATGGATACGAATCTCCCTCTGACTGTATAAAATATGAAAATAAAACAAAATAATGACTAAAACTAAAACACTTTATATTAGTGGAACTAAAAATTTAGGTAAATATTTTTTAATATTAATATTAATATTTATGTGTTTATCTATATCCTCTTTTCGTCTTGGCATCTTTTTAGACTTCTTTTAGAAAACATTCCATTCAATAATAATTGAGAAAAAGAATGAAAGAAGAGTGCACAACCATTTTTCTTTTTCAGATATTAATGGAACCATCCATTAGTGGAGAATTTAAAATGAACTCGTGAAATTGAAGGCTACATTCAAAATATCAAGGTTTTGTCCAATTAATCAAAAACTCAAATATTTTGTTCTTAATCTTATAAATTCCCATACAAGAACTCAATCTTTCTTAGTAGAGATTTTGATTCTCCTTCTTGTTCAAGATCTTATTTCAAGATCTAGTAATAAAGACACTCATCACTTATCACTGGCCTATTGGTTAAAGTAAATCTGTATTCAGAACCCCACAAAAAGGGTTTCCAGGTTCAAACCTTTCATCTACCACTTTCAACACTGATCAGTCGAAATCATTGAAAGTTAAAACACATTAGAAATTTATTATAATAAGAAAGTATGCAACTTTCTCTATACATGTAATGTATAGTAAAGCATCCCTCAATAATTGAACAGATAAAGTGGATAGTTTAGAATTTCAGTTAATAAATACAAACTTGTTGACCAACATGATTGTCTAAATGGCACTAAACTCATATCCTTTAAACAGAGCTTTAAAAAAAAAAAAAGTTGATTGTGGAAGGAAATTCTACAAAATTCGATTTTTCAATAAATATCAATCATTCAAATATCAATACCGGGTACCAATGTTACTGTTGAAAGTCCCACATCGCCTACTTCATGTTATTTGGTATAGTTTAAATATATGTTAAGTTATTTCTCATATGTTGGATCCTTAACAGTTATAATCACTCAAAAGATACAAAAAGTGACTACCATAGCTATATATACATTTCCAACATGCCTATATTCTTAAACTAAGTAAGAACCAATCCAAACTTTCACATAAAAGATTGGCCATAGAAGCACCTGCTCTAGATTCTGCGAGTGAGGAAGTATCTGGACAAACAAAAGACCGTGTTAGGTGTTTTCAATATAACCAAACAAATGGGTATTGACTAGTAAGGATATTTAATGCAGGTCATTGTCCAATTTACCCTGGCAAAGAGTATATATCAGAACTGGCGATGGAAGTTTTACTTCTCTTTATAGGGAGTCTATCTATTTCAAATAAATCAGCAGAGGATGCAGATGTGGAAGTACATGTCTGAGTATCAAAAGCCCGTTTTCTTTTGATAGTTTCAACCCTTTGTGAACGTTCATTTTTTGCAATAATTTGAGAAATAGCTTTCTCACTATGCAATCCTTGTGATGTACACACAACATCATCATCATCATCACCAACTAGGTCTATGACCTCCTTTTCCAATTTGAATTTTACTCCTGCAGGCACAGAATTGATATGTTAGAACTTACTTTACATTATTTTGTTAACATTTTACTTTAGGCAAAAGCTAGGAGCATAAAGAGTAGTAGAGTCCGTAATGCAAGTGAAAAAATTGGTTGGGTTGCCTCAGCATTTCTTGAAAAATACAACCTCAGCCTCTTCAAGTAATTAACAATGTATACTTGTATCAATTTCAGACCAGGTACATATAATCTTGTTTGTATGGGAAAAACAGAATGAGTTACCTTGCCTGCTTCTGTTTGCTCTTATTGAAAGAAAATTTATCACGAGGGAAAGAAGAAATCACCAAAGAAATTATTTGCAGTTTTCTAGAACATAAAGCAGAAGAAAACCTCAACGTTATTAAAATTAGGACCCTCAAATCATATAGAACAACCAGGATCTACAAATCGAACCATGAGTTGAAGATCTAAGGAAGACAACAGGAACAATGTTGTGTTTGGCTTGAGATAAGAATGGAAAATCGACCTTAGGCTTCCTTGCATGCAGACACCTTAAGCTGAAAACAGAGGTATTTTGATGCTATAAAACTCCGTCTATAGGTGTCCAAGGAATGTTCTGAGCTACTATGTGGATCAATTGTGGGCTGCCTTACCTTGCATTTGCAAGTAGACATCTTAAGCTTTCCTCCAAAATTACCAAAATTTTTTGTGTAAACTTGGGCCATCAAGCCTCAAACTTGAGGTGAACTTAATTATGACATTGCTACTTCAAGTAAGATTGGATGATGTGAGGAGTATACGCTCTTAACTTGTGTATAGTAATAGTTGCAGACTACGATAAGTTTTTGAGCAATTTTAATTTGATCTGGTTCAGTCACCAAATAATCCAGTTTGAGCAAGGATTACTAGCCTCACCACACCATTTCAATTAATCTACTAAAACATGTCTCTCGCCAATAGCCATTACCTTCTCTCATAAGATCATTATGGTTCAAGCTACCAAGATATATGACCAAACCGCAATAATCTATTCAGTTTGATCCAATTCAATATTTTTAAAGGAAACTATATACATTAGAATCTGTATTAAAAATATACGAGATACAAAAAGAACAGTATTTTCATTTCCACACCTGATGCACGTAGAGCATCATCCTTGTTCCTTTTGTAGGGGGGAGCCTGAGCAATGCCGGTATCAGGAGAGTGGCGAGTATCTTCATTCCTTTGGAAAGGAACAGGTTCCCCAGTGTCATTTTCAAGCTCGTAGTCACCAACATCCTCTTCATCTTTGACAACATAAGAAACTCCAGGATTAGGCTCCACTTCAGTGTTCCCACAATTAGAGGCTCCTTCACTCATCAAAAGTTTTATATCATCTTCCAACTTCGCAACACTGACACTTAGTTCACTATATTTCCTCTCCAAAGACTCAAATAATGTCTTACGTTCGTGCATCTCGTCCTTCAATTTATCATTTTCAGTCCTCAACCCTTCTATGACATTCAAATTCTTCTTAACTGTTTCCTCCAGTCCAATGTTCTTCCTGTTAAGGACATCAAGACCACTCTTGTCCCCAACCTTCTGCTCCTCCAATGCACGGATTTTGGTCCTTAGTTCAGCCACAGAAATACCATCATCTAGCCTTTTCTTCTTGAACTCCTTCAGCTCACAAACTTCACGTTCTAAAGCACCGTTTTTTTTCCTTAACTCCCCAATAGTATTTTTTTCAACCAAGCCATTTTTTTTCACATCCTTCAACAACTGCTCATAATTCTCCTGGGCTCTCTTCCCCTTTTCATATTGTTCCTCTCTGATTTTCAGTCTTTCTTCGGTTTCAATACCCTTGAGCCTCTCCACCTCAATCTTCTCCCGGAGTGACCCAATCTCTGCCCTAAACTTGACTTCTCTGTTCACCAACTCTTCTTCAACTTTATCAAAATCCTTCATTTGATACGCAACACGTAGAACTGAAACAAGCTCAGAAATGCTCATCTCACTGTAGTTTTTTTTATGGGTGGTAGAAAAGGACCTAAGCGGGGACCCAGGTTCGGTTTTGGGTTGAAAGGCCATGAGAAGTCCTAAAGACGCAAACTTTTGTTTTTTTTTGAGGGTTAAACGAGCGAAGGAAGAAGAGGATACTACTTTACCCCTGAGAGAATTTGTTTTCAGTATCAGAGAATGGAGGAACATAGGAAGTGTGATTTGAAACGTACCTGGCTATCTATGCTTTGTTGTTGCTGCTGCTTTTAATAGAAGCAGAAAATCCGTGTGACTAGCAATCGATAAATAAAAAGATGAAGTGAAAGAAGAGGTTCATGAAACGACGTATTGAAGAAATTTTGAAGCTTATTTTGGATTTGAATCAGTAAATTTTGCTGTGTTGTACGTGAAACGAAAGTGATACACCATTTTTGTTTCTCTAACCTTTAACGGTAAACAAAAAGGACCAAGTAAACCATTTTTCTTTCTTCATACCCAACTCATGCATTTCTTTAGGAACCTCGCAATTTCACTAATTTATTTATTCTCGTTAAAGTGATTTATTTGTGTTTATTATTATTTTTTTATGTATTTTCTTTAAAAATAAGTCTTTTTTTTGGTTTTTTTAACAAGTTAAATATATCCATTTTTTAAAATAAGTTATTACTTTAAAAAGTATTTATTTCTGGCTCAATGTGTATTGAAAAGTTTCATCGATTTCATGATAATTTCTAAATTTAAATAAATTAAAAAATAAATTAAATTTTATGTTTTTATTTATCTTTTATTTTATATAATATAGATATGTTTTTATTGAAATTATATAATATAAAGTTACTTCTTCCCTATTTAATTATAAGCAACAACAACAAGATGTCATGAACTTAAATATAAAGCATACTTTATATAATAATATCATATAAAAAATACACTTAATTAATTGAAAATTCTAAAGTATTATAAATATAATTAATAAAATTAAATTGTATCAATTAACTTCTTTAATTAGAGTAAAAAATTAGTTAATTATATATATATATATATATATATATATATATAAATTTTGTGATAATTTGTTTAATAGCATAATGGGTATAACATAATGTTGAGGTGTATTCATATACAATCTATAAAACGATTACAATGATATTATAAATCAGACATTACACATGCTTATAAATTCCAAGTAGGAAGAAGTTATTACATGGTTTTGGAACATTAGATATACAATATAAAACTGAAATTTTCAATCTGCCATAAACTGAATAACGTGGAAATGAGTTGAGACTAAAATGAACTATGTAGATGAGTGGTAAGTGATAGGAATCAACACCAAATCATGTTTCCTTTTTACTACCAAGCCAAAGGATTCAGTCATGTCAAGTTCTTGAGGCATACTCCCTTTAGGCAACTTCCAATCAAAATGGAAAAGCAAATTTGCAAGCGAGAATTCAATATTCACAATGCCAAGATTGATGCCAGGGCATATCCTCCTTCCAGCTCCAAATGGGATTAACTCAAACTCACCACCTTTGTAATCAATTGAGCTGTCAAGGAACCTTTCAGGATAAAATTTCTCAGGTTCAATCCAGTGATTAGGATCCCTCCCAATTGCCCATGCATTAACAATTACTTTGCTTTTGGCTGGTATCTCATACCCATTAATCTCACATGTCTCACCGCATTCCCTTGGAAGCAGCAATGGAGCAGGTGGGTGCATACGCAAGGTTTCTTTGATAACGGATCTCAAGTATTTCAACTCATGAATACTTGTTTCATCCACATATCCTTTTCCATCAAAGACCCTTCTTACCTCAGTTTGCACTTGCTCCATCACCCTAGGGTTCTTCACAAGTTCTGACATTACCCAATCCATAATTATTGATGAACTATCGCTTCCAGCACTGAATATGTCCTGACAGAAATATCAGAGCGTTACATTTCTAACAAGTTTTATAATCACCAAAAGTTTACCACTACCATTTCTAAATAACTTAAAAGCGGCTAACAACACACTATTACTAATATTTGAGTGATTTTCATGCAGTTTCATCTAATGAATATTTTTTATTTCCAATAAATTTCAAACAACAATAAAAAATGTGTTGCTGTCATATCCAGAAAATGTTCAAGACCCGTATGATCAATCCTACTTGGACGGCATCAAACAATCATCAACCAAATAATGAGAAAAAAAAAAAAATCATATGTACACAATATTTGATTCGCAAGTTTGCATAGATTGTTAACAGACACATACCAAAAGGGTTGCTTTGATAACATCGTCAGATAGGGGGTGTTCGAGATCACCATTTTTCTGAAGCCTTAAAAGAACATCAACTAGATCTTCCCTATCTTCTTCACCAACAGCCATTGTGTCCAAAGTTTTCTCTCTGTGATCCCTAACAATGTTCTCAAGCACCCTATCCATTCCTTGATGGATCTTCTCAACTCTAGTCCTAATCCTAGTAATAACTTGAAGAAGTCTAATAGAAGGATACAGATCAGCAACAGAGAACCCTGCAACTGTCTCAGAAACACCCTTCATATGTTCCACATAAGCCTCTTGGTCTTCGGATTTTTTACCAAAAGCAATCCGTGACATAAGCCCATATGATAAAGAACAAATCTTCTCGGTGAGATTAATAGGTGACCCTTCACTCAAAGATATCTCCTTGACAAAATTTGACAACTCTTGTTCCCTGATTGGTCTGAAGGAGTTAACACGCTTTGGTGCTAGTAGTTCGATGGTACAAATCTTTCTCATCTGCCTCCAGTAAGTTCCATACGGGCTGAAGGTCATGCCCTTAGAGCCATAAGTGATAATATCAGCAGCAAGCACATGAGGCCTATTAGCAAAGATGATATCATGCGTGTTCATCACTTCTTTGGCCATTTCGGGTGAAGATACCACTATGCAGCAAAGCTCACCAAGCTGCATATACATGAGTGGACCATATTGAAGTGCCAATCCTGCTAGAGACCTATGAATCTGAGTTCCAAGGTGGTGTATGTTCCCTATGAGGGGTAGCTTCCGTGGTCCTGGCGGCAACTTGGAGTTTGAATTCTTGGTTTTTGATCTCCAAAGTATGTTGATTAGCATGAACACTAAGATGAAGAAAGGAAGGATTGTGGATAAAGAATTGTGAAGCTCAAACCCCATGCTTGCGAGTCTGAGATTAGTCAACCAATGGCTTTTCAAATCAAGACTATGATCAGGAGAATACAAGCAAAAGCTTGGAGAATTATGGATTGCTGTGAACTTATGCTTGGTTGGGGTACATTCTATGTTGCTTCCATGGCTACTGAGGAAATGAACATAAAAGATTGTTGACAAACAGAGAGAAAAGTCCACCACAAAATTACACCAACTGTTGCGAGCACGACTTTTCGTCATTTGTCACATTTTCAAATGATGAGGTTTGTCTGCATCAGTTATAGGATAAACATTGAATTATGTCAACAAGATACGCAGATACATGAATGTCCATTACACATTTAAGAACTATCTTACAATTTACTATTTTCAGAAATATAAATAACTATAAATTATTTTTTTAACTTACCATATTATAAGCTAATACTTTCTAGCAGAGATTATAATTTGATGGTACAGTCGAAGTAACTTTTTGGTAGTTAGGTGTTAAAGTAAATTAAGAGTAAGCGTTTGTGACATATCTTTTTAACCATCCTTGTTCACGTCGCGATTCCAGTTGGAATTAAGAATTAAGTCTCCATCCCTCCTTCTTTGGGTTTTGGGTTCTCCACTTACATATCGTCACGATTTATATTATTTTTAAAAAGATAATTATATTTATAATAAATTAATTTTACTATGTATTTTTATATATAAATAAATATTTATAATTTATAGTTATTATTAATTAAATATACATTTTAATTTATTATATTTATATTAAAATATATATGTAAAAGAAATATTTAATTATTTTTTATTTATATATATATATATCAAATATTTATAACATTATTATTATTAGTATAACATTTGTATTCAAATATTTAAATATTTATAACATTATTATTATAATATTGTATTCAAATATTTAATTATACATATAAGTTAATTCATTTTTAAGTTGTCAATATATAGTTTATAAGAAAATATTTAATAAGTTAATTCTTATTTAATTAGTTTGAAGTAATAAAAGTTTAAATTATTAATTTCTTTTAATCCTTTAAAATGCAATTATTTTATTAAGATAAAATTTGATATATGATAAATAAGCATAATAAGATAAAAAAATATGACATAATAAATATAAATTATAAATAAATTAATATTAGTTACTACTAAGATTGATGTAAAATATTTAGAAAAAGATAAAAAAAAGATAAACTTTGTGTTCATCAAATTGATTGAAAAGATTGAAAAAAAAAACAAATTGATGGGAGAGACTAAGAAAATGTGAAAAAGCTCGAAAGATAAGGGAGAGAATAATATAATAAATTAATTGATATAAAAGATAAAAAAAATTAAAAAGTGGGTAGAAGAAAAATAAAAATTGGTGAAATATAAAAAAATAACCTTATATGTAATAGAAAAAGAAAATGAAATACTTTTAAAATATTAATATTTTAAAATTTAAATTTAAATATAAAGTCGGGGCGGGGACGGGGCGGGGTCGGGGTGGAGATTCATTACCCATCCACGCCTTGCCGACTTTTAAAGCGGGAAAACCGGAGCAGGCCCGCCCCGGTCGACTCGGGTTTTCCCAGTCAAAGTCGGGGCGGGGACGAGTCGTTCACCACGAGTGCGAATTTAATTGTCATCCACTAATTTACGAGTTTATAAGTAAGATAAATGATGTTTTCTAATATAGTAAGTCGAAAGATATTTAATTACTTCATGAATGAGTATTGTACCGTCCTTACACAACTAGGAAGACACAGTAACCACGTGTGTACTGTGTCTACACGGCTACAAAACCCTAACAGACCTATCAATTGGAGCCTCGCGGTTAGACCCCCTCGTTAGGGTGGTGTAGCGATGACAATTAAACCAGTCCCAGCCCAGAGTTGGCCGGGGACGAGGGCGGATTCGAGTTTTTCCAGCTTTAAAAAGTCGGGCGGGGCGGGGATGGGTAATGCGATCCCACCCAGACTTCAGTCCCGTCCGCACCGACTTTATATTTAAATTTAAAATATTAATATTCTAAAAGTATTTCCTTTTCTTTTTTACATATAAGGTCATTTTTTTATATTTCACCAAAATTTTTTCTTCACCCACTTTTTATTTTTTTTTTATCTTTTTTAATCTTTTATATCAATTAATTTATTACATTATTTTTCTCTTACCTTTCGAGTTTTCACATCTCCTTAATCTCTTCATCAATTTGTTTTTTTTCAATCTTTTCAACCAATTTGATGAACACAAAGTTAATTTTTTTCTTTATCTTTTTCTAAATATTTTACATAAAGTAATAACTAATATTATTTTATTTATAATTTATATTTATTAGGTTTTATTATGTCATATTTTTTTATCTTATTATTCTTATTTATCATATATCAAATTTTATCTTAATAAAATAATTGTATTTTAAAGGATTAAAGGAATTGATAATTTAAATTTTTATTACTTGAACTAATTGAATAAGAATTAACTTATTAAATATTTCCTTATAAACAATATATTTCATATTTTTAAATGACAACTTAAAAATGAATTAACTTATATATATAATCAAATGTTTGAATAGAGTATTATAATAATAGTGTTATAAATATTCAAATATTTGAATACTGATATTATAATAATAATAATAATAATAATAATAATATAAATAAAAAATGATAAAATATTTCTTTTACATACACATTTTAATATAAATATAATAAATTAAAATGTATATTTAATTAATAATAATTATAAATTATAAATATTTATTTATATATAAAAAATAGATAGTAAAATTAATTCAATTATAAATGTAATTATCTTTTTAAAAATAATATAAATCGGGGACGGGACGGAGCGGAAACACTGAAATCCGAGTTGGAACGGGGGATGGGGATTTAATTCTAACTCCGGCGAGAATTGGAGATGGGGAAGAGGATGGTTAAAAAACTCGGGGACGGGAATCGGGAGGGAAAACCTGCCCCGCCCGTTGCCATGCCTAGGGTGGTGGCCATGAACACCTAGGTAAAATCTAGAAGCAGAAGCCCACCAACAAGGTGGAAGTATGAAAGTAAAAACAAAACATGGACTCCCTGGTAAAAGTGGTAAGAGACTTTAGTATCGGAGTGTCTTCAGCCGGCAAATTGGCCACGTCTCCAACCAAGAGACTGGGTTGTATCGGTCATTATACGTCCAACGACTCGGAACAAGCTCCAAAAAGAATTCAGAAACACGTAATGGAAACTGGTTTCGTAGGAGACTCTTGGCCTTGCAAGAACATTTTGGCATCCGTCTTTTGCAGGCACACCGATCACATCTCAGACCAAGGGACTCAATTGTATCGACCATTACACGTCTAAACGACTTGGAACAAGTCCCAAAAAGAATTTTAGTCTTGCAAGAACAATTAAACTTAAACTTACTTGGTTAATAAACATTAAATTTTGGCTTAGTAGTTTTAAAGTTAGATAGAGAGTTTTTAATTAAATTAATTTTCAACTTTTAAATGTAATTTAGATATGTATTTAAAGTCATCTTTTTAAGTATAAATCATCTGAAAACACATTTTGTTTTATAAGAAAATATATGAAAAAAATGAATACTAAAAGAGATAGAACTTCATCATTCACTCTGGATGACAGTCATTGATAAGTAAATTAATGTAAGAAAATCTTATATGATCTGGTTTAAGAAGTTCTTAACTAATCCATGTTCAATTTTCAGAGCTGAGGTTAATGAAAATGAAAAATTAAATGAACAGATATTCAGCAAGAGAAATTGTAATCAATCATTTTGGTCAAACGTAGGCAACAACCAAAAATGAAAGCACAAATGTATGAAAGAGTGTATTAACATTGAGAAAGAAAACTAATCTGGTTTTGAACAAGTGGAGAATTATAAACAAAAAAAATGTGAATAATTAAAGATTAGAGCATCATAACCATACATATAGAAATCTAAAATGAAATTAAACTTAAAATATATTATTACAACATTTTAGTTGTCTTAAACATAAACATTTTCTGCTATACAGGATAAAAGAAGAAGAATAATTACTCTTGCCTAAAAATTGTACAAAAATTACTTAATTTTCATATCATTTTATTTTCTTTCCATTTATTTTATTTTTCCATTCAAACAAAGATTTGTAATCAGGTTTCATGTTTGTATCTCTAGCTTTAAATTTAGTTTCCGGATTAGCACTGATAGAAGAGTGTAAAAAGAAAACAATTTTTTTTTCAAAACTCAACGAAAGAGTAGAGTGAAGGAGCACCGACACAAGTGCAACTTACCGCATATCCCACCATAAATAAAATCACATCATAAAATATTAAAAAGAAATGGCTGGTCATTCAATCATAGAATAAGGACAAGGTAGTGAAACAGCAAAAAAAAAATCACTTTCTATCATAATCTCTTTTTATTTTACTATTCTTTCTCGTCACATTTTTTATTACATTTTCTCTGTTCATCTTTTTTATTCTTTCCACCATTATACACCCTATTTTTGGGTGTGTACATTTATTGGTGCCCAACACCAAATACCATTAGAACATCGAAATAAAGTTCATATGATGCGAAAAATCATTACATTCCAATAGCATCGTGTAAATTTAAATACACTTTTCCTGAAGTTTGAATTACTTTTGAAGAAAATTTAGCCAAGAGCAGTTGACAAATGAGTGAGACTGGGAAAAAATGCCCTCCGACTTCGAACTAACTCAGTACAGAGAGAACCTGTAGACAGACCATTGCCAGTCGAATTTGACTTACTATCCTTCCAACAATGGGAAAAAGGTACAAAAGAGAGAGATATCAATTGGGAACTTTTACCACCATGCAATCAAATTTATAAACACATTAAGAAATATACTTTATAATAAATCATGATTATGTTTTAAAAATAAATAATAATGTAGGCCCAGGATCCATGGTTTAAAACATTTAACTGTATCCCTTAGTTTAGAACATCTATACCCATGCCTCAAACAAGCATGAAAGGATCAAGACAATCATGTTACCATGGTGATTTGAGAATATGGTCATAGCATATCGACCACTGCATAATTATTATCTTGCTTTTTAACCATAAAATATATTGCTTGGACATCTAAGCAAGAATCTAAATAATATGCAATATCGCGATGTGCCAAACAGATTAAAAAATGTGTCACACATGTTATCACTCAAACGAATGAAGTTATTATACATCAAGCATGAAAATCCATGTGAATCTGAAACCCATACTAAATCTGTGGAACTTGAATAAAACAATCAAAACTCATTTACATGAAACAGTCGGATACTCTGGAACTTGAATAACGATTATAATTAGTAAGAATTACCTTTAAGGCTAGGTCCATGTATAGCCCTTTCCAAAGAATTGGGTACCCAAAAATGTCTTGCTTTGTCTCAGAAGTGGTATGATCAGTCGGAAAAGCGTTATCAAGGCCAATCACATTCTGAGAAGACCACCACTTAATTCGGTCTAGAAGACAGACTTCTGTTCCAGTACCAATACAGCATATACAACCTGTTCTCAAGACTATCTTGTAGCATGTTGAGACTTTGCCATTTCTCTTAAGACAGCACCAACAATCGCTGCCTGCTCAAGGCAGTCCACCTTATGCAAAGCATCTAAAAGAACAACACACGTTTTACTATGTATACGACAACCTTTAAGTCGAGTTTCCTCAAAAAGTATATATGCATCCATTGCCTTATTGGCACTGCTTAATCCTTCTATCATAGCATTATAACAAGCCGAATCAGGTATGCCCCCACTTGACTTAAATCTCTCAAAGAGGTCGTTTGCCTCTAGAACGTTCCCAACCCTTGCCAGTCCTGAAATCATGGTGGTGTATGTGATAGTATTGGGTTTTAACCCTTGTTTCTGCATTTCTTGCCAGAACACAAAGGCCTTGTTAAATTTTCTAACCTTACAAAGACCATTTATCATAATGCTGTAAGTTACTTCATTCGGAAGGCATTTCATGTTTTTCATGTTCTGGAAGCACACAAGAGCTTCATCAATTTCCTCAGCTTTCACTAAAGCATCAAGTAAGCAATTCCATGTATATGTATTTGGAGTCAAACCTTTCTGCATCAACTCCTCCAAAATTAAATATGCTTCATCAATCCGTCCAACCTTCCCAAACCCATCAATAAGACTACTATAGATCACTACATTCAAATCAATACCTTTTGATTTTGCTTCTTCAAATAACATATATGCTTCGTCAAGCCTGTCAATTTTAGCAAGTCCATCAATGACAGAACCATAAGTTACAACTGTTGGTTGGAGACCCTTTGTCTTCATTTCCTCCAGTAACTGGTAAGCTTTGTTGACCTTTCCAGACTTGCAAAATCCATCAATAACAATGTTGTAAGCGCGGGTATCCAAATGTAGTCCTTGCTCCTTCATCTCATAAAACAACTTGTATGTTTCTTTTGAAAATCCTGCTTTCACAAGACCATGAATTAAAATTGAGTAGCTCCGAACGTCAGGAGTTAGACCCTGAGCCTTTATTTCTTCAAATAAAGCCCTGCCTTTCACAATTTCACCAGCTTTGAAAACACAATCCATGTAATTATTAAGGAGCATCAGATCAGGAGAACAGCCCCTATGCATCATCTCTTTATAGATTTTGTGACCATCCTCCTTCCTACCACACTTGAAAAAATTCCTAATAAGGGATGTATATACCACTGCATTTGGAGACTGGTCAGAATCTAACATCTTTTCATAAAGCAAATAGGCATCATTCACCCTGCCTTGTCTGCCTAAGCCATCAATAAGTGAACAAAATGTTACTGCGTCAGGGGTGCAAACTTTATGATCCAATTCTAAGAATATGGAGCAAGCTTCATCAAGTCGTTGAGCTTTACACAGTCGATCAATCATAATATTTACAGTCATGATGTTAGGGAATAAGCCAGCCTCTTTCATGGAGTCCCGAACTTTCAAAGCAGCTTCATGTTTCCCTGCCTTACAAAGCATGTCAATTAATATATTGTAGGTTGCAAGATTGGGTGCTGCATCTATTTTCATTTCTTCAGAGATTCTCAATGCTTCCTCAACTTTTCCCTTCCTTCCAAGGCAAGTCAGAATGCAATTATATGCAATTACACTAGGTATGCATCCCTTTCTCTTTTGCCTCTCAAGTAAGCTGTATGCTTTATCAAATTTCCCAACTGAACCATAACCCATTATCATGGTATTATAAGCGTAAACACAAGGGACACTCCTGTTGCTATCAAGTTCTTCAAACAACTCTTCAGCTTCATCCAACCTCTCAGCCTTGCAAAGAACCCCTATCATGCTAGTATATGTCACGTCATCAGGCACCAACCCATGTGATTTCATTTCATGAAAGAATTTCCAGGCCATATCCAACTTACCAAGTTTACCAAAACAATCAATACATACATTATAGAGGACAATATCAGCATTAAACGAGTTACTCTTCATCTCATCCAGTAAGGATAGAGCAGCATCAATGCGACCCTCCCTGGCAAATACACGAATAAGTGTGGTAAACAAATGTCCGCTTACTTCATAACCTATTTCCTGCATCTGATGCAAGAGAGTGAGCATGAGATCAGCTTCATGAGCTGCAGAGAGAGCACCAATCAGTGTGGTATAAGCCGAATAAGCAGGGCGAAACTTGAACTTCCTCATTGTTTCAATTACACCAAAAGATTCTCTTAGCTTCTTAGACTTGATAAATCTGCAAACCAACTCGATACAGGTATTGTTGGAGGGTCCAAATCCAGCTATACTCATTTCTTCAAGAATCTGTTCCAAGTAGTCCAAATTTCTGGTCCTGGCCATGAGCATGAGAAGTGCGTCGTAGGCTTCAGGGCAATGCGGCTGTTCAGTTTTTCTCTCCACCCACCTAAAATACTGCAATGCCGCCTTCACATCTTTCAACCTCCTTATTACTCCAACAACCGATTCTGGTTGAGGCATATCATCAAACGTATTGAGGGCATCCTCAATAGCAGGTCCCCAAGGACCAGTGTCCAAGACCCGGCATACATCATGCACTGTCTTTCTCATGCCCTCCGATTTCAATGCATTGTCTTGGGAATGGGAGGTATCATCCATAAAGGAATTAACTTTAACTTTCCCATACAATTCAGATGACGACCCATTTGGAAAGGAGGATGAAAACTTGTAGGACAAAGGATCTATTTTCCCACGTTCAAGAACAAACCAAAACTTTAGAACTGCAACCAAAAATAAAAATGAGATTATAGAAGGCAACCGTGAAACGGGTATATATGATAATAAGAATATAATTATGTAAGGAAAAAAAAAAAAAACACGACCTTGGACCCTTGAGAGAATCTTCATGTGCTCACACACTTAGAATCTCAAATGGGAGATATTAACAAAGCAATTGGAGAGAAACAGAGAAGGGCAAGAACTATAACTGTATTACTTGAAGTTGTGTAAGTTAAAATTGAAACAAACGAGTCATACAAAATCGTGGTTTTCTTTTCTTCGAAGAGGAACAAAGGAATATAAAAACAGATTCTGCGTAGACTGTAAAACAAATTTATATAGTTTTCAAACATAAATTATTATGTACAATAAATTTATTAATTTTACAATAAACATTTTAAATATTTTCCAATATTAATTTTAATTAATTTATAATATAATATTATTTTACATTTACAATGCATGATTGTGTTCATAACACAAATGATATTATTAGTATATATTTATTTAAATTCATATTAATTTTAGTTCACTAAGTATTCAATGAAAATATATCCATCTCTGGAACGAACTCTCAAATAAAATAATAGTATGAAGATTGAAAATATTTATAAATTAGCATTGATACAATTTAATCATGGAGATTATTATTAATAAATTCAAAACACAAGTTTTGACCCATTTACTCTTAATCTCTCTTATAATAGTTGGTTTCTTTTCTTCTGCTATCCATTAGACGTGCCTCATTTTTTTCTTTTCACAAATTTATTTCCCATGCAATTTTGATTTATACATTATAACTTAACATTTAGCCTATGTTCGGTTATTAAAAAAATGTGAAAAAATGAAATAAAAAGTATATAATTGTTCGTTTAAAAAATCTAAAAAGGAATGAAAGTTATCATTTAAAAAAATAATAAATAAATTCATTAAAATTGAGTAATTATCGTATATTTATTTTGAAAAAAAAAGAATTTTAAAATAATATCTTCTATTTTTTATTATATATATGAGTGAAAAATAAAATATATAAAATTAATAAAATAATTTTTATATTTATTTTATTAAGAAAATTATTTCTTCTCTAATGGACCCTTTATTATTAACAAAAACATCACAGTTAATTACTTGCATCTTTAACGTAAAATTAGAATAATAACAAAACATTAAATTTTTATGATTTTTATTCGTAAATTTTTAATATTTTTATTTTTTAAAATTATATGATTTTACTCTTTCTATTTATCATATATCAAACATTTTATACATACAAATAAATGTTAATTCTCATTTACATATTTTAGTATAACAAAACTGTTATATATAATCATTTTCAATTATTATTATTATTATTATTATTATTATTATTATTATTATTATTATGTTTCAACTGAATAATTTAAAAGATGGCATTAATTTAAATGATAAAATTACTATTATTATCACTTGTATCATGCACAAATTATTTTGTGAAATTACTATTATTTTGGTTTTCGTGTGGAAAATATATATATTAAAGTATTTAGATAGAGTGGAGCCACCCTTCTTTATGTCATGGACAAACTAACCTATTAAATTTAATTTGATATATTAATTAGTATAGGAATTTAGTTTATAATAATAAAATATCAAAATTAATTATTGACAGAATTTAATATACTTTTCTTTCACAATCCAAAGTATAGACGAAAGCTACCAACCTTACTAAAAGTTTATCATAATATCAATGGCGATGTGGTAGCCAAATGAACTGTAGATAAGATGAATGATGCCTGTGCTACTATGTTATTCACACCAAATTATTCTCAAAAATAGTAACTGTATCACTCCCCTACCCAAAGACATGGCGAATGTCAATCATTTCATCCAATCCAATACAAGCATAGCCCGCTTAATTGGTCTCTTCAACACAATTATCTTACATGAATTTAACGAGGATGACAGCACTGGAAATTAATTAAATAACTACGTTTGCAAGAAGATTGAATGGAATTCATTTGATAGCCAAGATCAAGAGATATACAATTTTGTCCTTAAGAAACAGTTATTCCCAAAAGTTTCCATTTAAACAATTTGATTTGTTGTCAGTTTACTAACAAAGTTAATCTCGTTAGACATCGATTTGCATATTAAAAGGCTTGATGAATAAAAAACAAAACAAGTAAAATCTTTCATCATTCAAATTGTATAAACTAATCGGTGCTTATTTGTTTGTATTGGAGTTTTGTTAATAGCCATTTTCTAGCCAAAATCCAACCAACTGAAGAGATTTGAGAAAATAACTTGCAACAATCTAATGGTAATAAAAGCCAAAGTTCTGAAAGTACAATAATTAAATATCACAGTCATTGACTAATCAAGTTTTCTTACTCATCCACCAACTATTTTTTGGGAAGGCGGTTACTCTTCCATGGCATCCCCTTCAATCACTTCAACCTTCTCCTTCAATGGGGTAATCTTTGTTAAGAGGACCTCTGCAATGAAGAATTTATATTTAGTACACTAAAGGAATATACTCCTTATTTTTTAATCTGCCAGAAGAAAAAAGGAAGCAGGATATGCAGTACACAGAAAAGATAGGCCATTCAATGTTTTATTATCTTCTCAACCCCTCAGCAGGAATTCTAACTGATTCCATTTCTGCTATTTTCCTAACGCGTACACGTTCGGCTTGTTACACAATAAATGTTTATATTAATTTTTTCCCCTGCTCTCCACATATGGCTTTAGGACTGTCACCATTTCATCCCAACAGTCGCCCAAGCTAGTAGGTACCTTACACTCATTCGCACCTCTGTCAAAGTGTCAAGTGCCAATTATTTACACAATGTTAACTCATATAACTTGGAATTATAAGGAGGCAAAATGCACATTACTACAATAAATTAAGGGACTTAGTTGTTAACTTCAGCTATTATCTAAGTTTGAATACTTTACAACACCAAATGTCAAGATCATCATAATTTCTGAGACAAAAATGTCATGCTACACTACACAATACTATGCAAAACCATAGAGTTATTGCAGTATCACGTATAATAAAATGGTCGAAGTTTGCAACCAACCTATCTTTTTGGGGAACTCAAAGCCTCTTGGATTTACATAGGTACGGGGATTTGGTAGAAGGTGGTTCCTGAGATATTCCTTGTGTCCCTGTGAAGCATTAGTGAATAAATTGTGCAGAAATTTAAGTTAGATGGCTCTCCTCGGAGGAAAAACCGTAGAATTGGGCATGAAGGCACTTACCTTAGTTATCACACAAACATCAACATTACTTCCACTTCCCAAGTCATTAAAAATACCAGCACAAATGGCCTCAACAACTAGCTTTATGCCTTCATCCCGCTACACCACATCAAAATGTTTATATCAAATTTCAGCATCTCCACAACATCACCACCAGTATCAATTATAACATAAATAATGCACAATTTTACATTTAGATTTGAAATTGACATATTTGCTTCATATAATCATTCCATTGAAATGATTATAGATTGAGCAGTTCTCGACAGATTATAATCAAATCATTGTTATTAATGGAAGAAGGCCAAAACTCTGACATAAAAACATGTCATTGTGATCTATGGCACCGTCATAGTAGGCCTCTCTTCACATTTACCCTAACAAATGTACCAAATGCACTCCTGTAACAGACGATGTCTTTCCTCAAAATACTATAACATGTTTGTGCCTTAATATGCTTACTTACATTCAAACTTTCCTTGTACTTAGACTCAAATACAGACATTGCAGCAAGCGAACCTGATCCCATTGTAGCAAATGGAAGGGTGTCAGTTGACCCATGTGGATAAATCTGCAAAACAAGTTATCAAAGGTAATGAGAAATTGAACTATAGGCATTTAAAACAAGGAAATTTCAGTATAACAGAAAAGTTTTAAACAATGAACTAACTGTATGCAAATGAGGTCCAGTGATATCAACCCCACCAAGCACTAAAGCAGCTGAGACATGACCTTGATAACTGCACAATAGTTTAAAAAAGTCAGATCCAGTGGTTGATACAAAGAGAAAGAAAAAACTCACTTGATGTGCAAGTTCTGAAACTCAACTTGAATAGGTGTTTCTTAAGAAGGGTCAGTGCCGTAACAACTCGTGATTCTCGACCAGTATGATAACGATGTAGCTGCAGCTGTGAGCTAACCATGTCTACAGTAAATAACAAACTTCTCATTTCCAATATCTACGATATTAACAATATTGAGCAAAAGCTAGAGATGATCCTTATGCAACTATCCATAAGGCATAACCAAAAATGTGCAAGAAAGATGTATTTAATACAAATACCTGTTACAGCCTCTGTATCAGCAGCAGTGCCTGCTCCACAGCAATATATGTTGGGTGCCATATAATGAATTTTTTCACAGTTTTTATCAGCCACTATAGGTCCTTCAGTTGCCCTAGTATCAGCTCCAAGAATGACACCATCCTGAGACATTAAAATATAAATATGCAATCAACATACGAAGTCACAAAACATTGTTAGGACTAAATGATACTGTCATGAACAATCACTAAAAGCACAAATATCAAATGGTACAATTCCTAGTTAGTGAATCGATACACAAGAAAGTAGTATGTACTATTTAGACAGATCCGTACCAATTAAAAGCACAGCCTCATTGATTGTATCCTAGTTAGTTGGAAAAAGTAGACAAGTAAAAGCTCAACCAATCCACCCAATATGCACCACTAAGTTCAATACGATTAGCTGTTCTTAAAGAAGCCACTTATATATATTACAACTTTTGTATATCAATGCAGGAGCTTTATGACATTACTTATTGCCAACTGTTTCTAAATGCCACCCAATCCGACCAATGAAAATCATCCATACATTCAAGAACTAAATTAAACATTTTACTATATAAGATATTTTTAGCATCAATAATCAAGTTACTTGGAGAAAAGAGATAGGAATAGTAGTCCTACTTGATAGAAGATTTCCGAAACATAAATCAAGATATCCTGAACCAGTCTAGGTTTACCATATTCTCTCCCTATAAAACACTGCATAATTCCAGAACTATACTATTGCCCAAACATAAAAAAATTTGAACATTCAAGACCACAAAACCTGAGCAAATCCTCCCAACCGTTAACACCCAATTCAACCAAACGTAAGCTGAACTTCGTTCACCCGCACAAGGAAACCACCCAGACAACCAGAACAAATTATTTAATTCATACACCTTTCCCAAGCCGAACAATGACTTCACATCCTGCGTCTGGAT